ACTCTCAAGTTTAATTGTTAGATAGATTTCTAAATCAATTTAAAGCTCATTACCCGCATTAAGCATGAATCACCACCAAACTATAGCCACAGATCCACTCAAAGCGGTTATCACTGTATCTCAAACATATATGCGGGCAGAGTCCAGTTTAGACCCATCATCCATGGCCATTGAATAGACTCGCTCGGGGTAGTGAATGAGGGGGAGATATCATACATACATATAAAGAGATGAGGAGAGAAGGTGCAGGAGGCGGAGGAGGATGCTGGAGTTGGAGATAAAAGCAAGGGCAAAAGGAGGAAGCATCAACAGTCGACGGCCATTAGCTGCTTATCGCGCTACGTCTTCGGCTGCTGATTCTTTTTATATACATTTTCTTTTTATACTCTTTAAGTGGGTATTATAATATAGACAATATATAAAACAAGACTTTTAAAATACTAAAAAAAAATATAAATTAGTTAAGGTAGTTGTCTATAATTTCTCCAAACTTATTTCATGACATATTAAACATTCAGTTACCAAGCTAAAGAGTTTAAAAAATTTCCTATAAATAAACATAAGTGCTTATCAAAAGTCTATATTTTTTATACATGTTCTTGAATGTATTTATTAAAATTCTTGCAAATTTTATGAGTCCCTTAGGTATAATTCCACTAAAAGAGTATTTTAAGCTTCGGTCCCATTTATTTCCCTATATATTTTTTTGTCATTGAGGGCGAACATCCAGCCGGCAGTGAGCTCAAGTGTAAAGTTATCAAGTGGCTGCGACTGGCAGTCAGATGGGACGGACACCAGTCAAGGGTTAAAGCCATAGACAACGTCGAGTGTGTTTGGCCATGGCTTGTGACATAAAATGTTATCAGAAAGGATTATGACAAGGCAAGTAAGAACGGCTAGAAGGGAAAAACGAGGTAAAACACAGCGACTAGAACTGTATCACTGGCACAGAGAAATAAGATGACGACGACGACAAAGATGATGATAGGATAGCGTCGAGATATAGCCGACAAACCAAGTGTCAAAGTCGGACATCGGACACGCCATAAAATATTTACACCAAAAGGAGCCCGAGATATTTCAAGAATCTCTCACTTCAGACGGGGTAAAGTTATCCTCTATTTCTAAGTGGCAAAAAAAAAGGAGGAAAGGAGTTGGGAGTTGGGAATAAGTGTCACAATTGTTGGTTAAATAAGTTGAGGATTTCACACTTGAGTTTGAAAAAAGAGCTCTATGTAGCTTTTTCCCCAGGAGTTTCGCTGATTTTAGTGGGGATTAAGACAAAGATTTGGGGAAACGTGATTTACTTGGATATAAATAAAAGAAGGTTGAGTAAATTTCTTAATAGATTTCAATTTTCTGTTACTAGAATATAAAAAGAGCACTTAGTTTTCTATATATAGAATATTCATTCTTATTTATAGTCTTAGAGCTCATGTATTTATCATGAAAAACCATAACCAACACTAAACACAGCTACCACACTCTTGTTTTCTTATCGTAAAACATTTTTATAGTCATCACATTCAAAGAAAACGAACTCCGAATCAAGTGAATCATTTTCAAGTTATTTACCAGTTCAACAAGAAAAGGCAGAAGATGACAAAGAAATCACGATCGGTACAAGTACACAACACATACATAACATAATGTACATAAGTTAAGTGTTCGTAATTCCGGTCTATACTTTACTGGTCTATGGAATGCACTCATCAAAAGCTGAAGAGGAAATGCAGAGAATTCCATGGTTAAATGATGGGATACACGGAAAGAAAATGGATCAACTTTATAACATGAAAGGAAGCTAACTGAAATCCATATACTCTTGCAGAGAAAATTGGTCATAACTCAGTGAAAAATGCTTTAATTTTCAATCGGAAAGCTTTTCTGTGCTAGTTTTTATCAGATTTATAAATCTCCATATAGAAATAAAAATGTTAAAAAATTCAATTTTTCTTGATTTTTTTTATACAATTTTAACGATGTATCCCCTTATAAAATTGTGAAAAATTTTGTAACAATTTTTTTCAGCCAGAGGTGGTCAGATCGATTTGGCTTTTCATGGTGATCAAGAATATATATGATTTATAGGGTCGGAAATGACTCCTTCACTGCAATTCATGCTTCTGATTACTTTTTTAATATAAGAAAATATAATAATGTAAACACTAAACAGCATTACTTAATACTTGTTATTTATCGAAAATTATATTTAAAATGATTTTTAAATCCAAAAAGTTAATGAAATACCTTTTAAGCCCTAGTATTTAAATGTAAAACTAATTGTTATTAAATTTTCTATTACAAAAATTCCTAAATCTCTTCTCTGGCATTATTTTTTATATTAATTTCTCACTTTTTAAACCAATTTCTCTTTGTGTGCACTTAATTTCTTGTGCAACAGTGTCTTATAACTTCATAACTTTTATGGCCGGCAAATGAAGCAGTTTAGAAGAAGTAGCGACAGTGAGACACTGATGCGGATACAGTGGCAGATACAGATACAGATACGCGTTGAGCTGCAGCTACTCGTAATTAAAAAAGAAAGAAAAACTAAAGGGGGGAAGACGAGCAACCCGTGCGGCAATTAACGATGGTTAAGTTGCAAGTATCAGTTCGCTGACAAACAAGCGGGACAAGTCTTGCAACTACTGACTGCAACTACATGCAACTCGGCGACAACTAACAACTACAGTTAGTGGGCTTGTTGTAATGGCCTTGGCAGCCAACTTGGCCAGTTTGCTAGCAGCAACTTGAGTGACATTCCTTGGCTTTATTTTTCGCCCCTTTAGGGGGCAGCAGCAGTAGCAGCTGCTGTTGCTGCTTCACAAACTCCTCAATAATGCAATGAAAGCATTTAAACTTTAGCTGGAATATAAAGTCAACTTTATTTTCTCATTTTAACCCATGGATGCAACATTTATGAGCCAGAAAGCAGCAGCTCTACCAAAATGGCAAAATCGTGAGAAATTGTTCCAATGCTGGAGCACAAGTTGCATTTGAAATTTGAAATTGTTTCCGCTTGAAGGATTGCCCAATTGTTGATGAGGGTGTTGTTGTTGTTGTTGCAAGTTGCAACTTTGGAAAGAAAACTCTCTGACATATTGTATGTATGTGTTGTAGAGAAAATGCGCTGAAAATTTCATCTTTCATTTTCGTTTGGGGCGGGGCTTTCATCGGAATGGAAATAGTCAAATTGCTCACTGAACATGAGTTGGGGAATTTATTGAACGCTGTTTGATTGATGAAAGGAAATCAATTTGACCAAATTGGTATTACACATTTTTTGTATTAAGCGTTAATGTAAAAGATAAAGGAATATTTAACGTTTTACAAGATAAGCCACGAAGTTTGAAAAGGAGTTTCTTAACAACGTTTTATTAACAAAATATTGTTAGATTTTCTAAGATAGTATTTTTAATCTTTTGAATCTTTTTGAGATATATTACATAAATATTTTCCTAAATATTATTATACACAAAACCAAGTTTACCTATGAGCAAACCTAACAACCTTCTCTATCCCCAAATCTAACCATATATAGTCCATATTTTGGGTAAATTTTCCAAACAAAAGACCGACAAAAAATGTCAATTAAATATGCAAGCCCAATATGGTAACATTTAGAGCCAAAACAAGACCATTAGTCAGATATTCAGACACAATAAAACAATTTTTTCCCAACTCTGCAACGCAACAACAGAGCTCCCCTCTTATGGGAAGAAAAACAGCTGTTAGCTGGATTTGTTTCTGGAGCAAGTTATAAAAGACAGACGAAAATAAATAAATAAAAACTAAAACTAAAAAACCCCGATCCGTATAAAAAACCGTTTGCGTGGGCGTTGAAAGACAATTAGCCGCATGCCGCAAAATCAAGCAACCGAAACTGGTTTTATTTTATTTTATTCGGTGAGTCAACTGCAACTCATACGGGTTTCCATGACACGCCAGAAACTAAACCATAAAACCATCATGAATGCAAAAGGCAAATATTTGATGAATTTCAAGCGAAATACCTGCAGAAATTAGAGAGAGAGACGGGGGGAAAATCGCTTCAGTTAGTAATTCATCAATTTTGTGCTGGCACTTCCTGCAATTTTTCCCGCTGCTCTGCGCTCTTGTGCCTCTTCTGTTGTCAATTGCATTTGACTGGGAATGAGTGCATTCAATTACTCGACCCAAAAGAGCTGAGCTGACAACCATTCAAAATTCTTTTACTATTTTTTTAGACCATTAAAAGCTTTTCCCACACAACAAAATCGATAAGTTTCCGTCTGCGAAAACTGCGAAAATGTTTTGCATTTTACTTTTTTGTATCTGTTGCGGTCTGGCAGGAGAGTTTTTTAAATAAAAATTGCGTTTACATTTCTGTTCTTGTTTTTTGTATTTCGTATTTTGGGGAATTGTGTGTTTTTGGTCAGAAAAAAAGCTGAAGTTTGAAGGAGAATAAAAGAGCTACAGGGGAGCCTGAGTGTTGATGTGGGAAAGTTGATTGAAGTTGGGGCGTTGCCTGGGAAATGTTTTGCATTCATAAAACCAGCTGCGAAAAAACATCATGTTTTAAATGGCGAAAATTGAGGCGGAATCGGTTTTTTATAATGGTCAAGTTACAGGTCATAAAAGGTTACAGGTTACAGGAAATAATAATATCATTTTGATGAAATTTGATTTGTTATAAAAATATCTATCACATTTTCTATACGTCATTTGACATTTTCTTTAACGTCTGCTTGATTTAATCAAGTTTTTTTCAGAGCTGCAACTCTGATACAATGCATAAATATATATATATACATATATATCTATAGTCTATGGCATTACCATAAGTATCTATTGTTTGAAAATGAAGAAAAACTGCACCCACATTGGCTACAAATCAGAGAATGACTCAACTGCATTTTAGTTTGAATTAATTAAAAGTTGTTTTCCTGGGTATACTTCACTTGGAATTATGTTTTATATATTTTGTAAATATTTAATAATTTATAATTTCTACTCACTTAATCTGCCAAAGCTATGCGATAGCCTCTTCTTGAGTTTTTGGAGGGCTCCTCCCTTCTTCTCGCGCATTGTGACGCCTGAAAATAAATGGAGAAATAGATAAATAATTAAAATACAAATTAATTAATTGCGCTTAAATGTGGGAGATTCATTAAGTGACATTCAATCAAAGTTGGGGGAAAACTTCAAAACAAACACAGAGACAGACTGAGAAAACAAAACACTGATTTTGTTGTTATAAATGAACATAAATCAGTGGAGCGTGGTTTCCCATAATAAACAGGGTGACCCCATGAGATAGCTGCATTTTCCCCCAAAAATGAATAATCAACAATTTGTACAACAAAACCAAAGCCAAAAATATTCAACCGAAAATAGAAAATGCATTTCTGAGTTTATTTCAGAGTTTCGTTTGGGGGATTTTCCTTGTCCCGGTTTTATCCACTATCTAAATATCTATAATTAAGTTTTATTTTCCATGTTGCTGTTGTTGTTGTTTTTACAAAACAGATCAAATAATATCATTTAGCAATACGCCGGGGCTCATTTTAAAGTTCAGTGAGGCATGAAAATTGTTTTCTGTTTCGCGGTCGCAGGGGGGGAGGTGATGTACTTCAATGGGAGGTGTGTCTGGTTTTTCCTGGTTTGTTGATTGCATTAATGATTTCTGTTTGTGTATGTTTTTTCTCTCTCTTCTCTATTATTAGAACGCACAGATATGAGTAATTTATGTGGTTAAATGGAAAAATAAAACAAAAAGAAACGCAAGTAGGGCAAAGGTTGGAAAATTATAATGGAAAGAAATTAATTAAAAAGAAAATAAACAAGGCTGTGATTGTAAAAAAATACTTAAATGATTTATGGTATAAATGATAATTTTCTTAGCTTTATTTCAACTAGAGAAACTTAAATAATAAGAATATTTAAACAAATATTTGTTAATTTAAGTAAGATTGCTATACAGTGCTTTTAAATTCCATTTTATTATATTGAAACCTCCCTTTTTTTTTCCAATGTTTTCTAAATATTCAATTATACAACCATTAATTCCTTATTGGCAAAGCATAAAAAGTTCTTTAAAACCCCATAAAAAATGTTATTTATCTCATACATAACTCCTACATCTCTTATTCAAATTTCCTGCTTGTTTATTTACACTTCCTCATCGTTGTTTTCTTGATTTCAATGGGATTACCACCTCCTAATAAGGAAATTGGCACTTGAGCCATCATTTGTCAAACTCTTCACAACTCTCAAGTCGCTGCAATGACACTGATTGAGTTGACCACTCCAACAGACTGACCTCCAGAGGCACCAAGACTAGATGGAAAACCAGTTTTCTCTGACAATTGCAAATACAGAAAAAGGAATTGTAACTAAAAATTGTCAGTCAGTCTCTCAATCTATCTAAATCTCGGTATAAAATGTGTATTTCTCGTTATTTATTTACCCACACGAGCTGTGTTAAATCAGGCGATAAAGTGTGCGACTCTGCAGTGTTGAGATAACTTTACATTCGATCCCCTTGTGAACTGTGTGTTTTTGGCCGTTGTCAAAAGCAATTTGGCTTAAACAATGCAAGAAGCGAGTCAAGCCAAGCAATTTATGGCCATGGAGTGTGCGCTTTGCATAAGGCTCCAAGTGCCTCCTACTTCCATCCTTCCTCCTATTCAGCTCGCCCTCAGCTCTTCAGCTGCAACTCAATTACAGGGGCCATCGGAGTCATAACTATAAGCTGTTGTTGACTTCTAAAATGGCTATTCAAAATCATAACCAGGCTATAAAAAGAAGGGGGGAAGGTGGATGTGACAACAAAGAGCCGGAATGCAGGCAGAAAAAATGGGAGAATATTCAAACTAGATGGCTCAAAAGCTTGCTAGAATCTTTGTGAGATTTACAAAATTTAAAGGTGTCATAGAAGACTCTATTATATAGAATGTATTTATAAACATACAACAGTTTTTACTATATTTAAAATGTCAGAATACAAATATATTCATATCCTTGAAAAGAATTTTATTTTTAGTCAGCAGCTTCAAACTTTGTGAATGAGTCATTTCCGACCCCATAAACCATATTCATTCTTGATCAGCGTGATCAGCCGAATCGATCTAGCGATATCCGAAAAAAATTAAAATTTTTCAAAATTTTATAAGGGTTACATCGTTAAAATTGTCTAAAAATTGGTCAAAAATTTAAAATTTTTAAAATATTAAATTGAGTATGCAGATTTGTTTACATATTAAAAACTAACATAGAAAAGTTTTCCGAATTGAAATCAATGCTTTTTCGGCTTAGTTATGAGATTTTTAAACATTGATTTGTTGCTAAAATTGTCATATAAAAATATTAATAAATATTGGTTTAAGTAATGTCAATATTTTAAGCTAAGTTATGATCATATTTCAATACAATCATATAATTAAATTTCATACTTCCGACCCCAAAGTTAGTTTCCTTTCTTGTTTTAATTTTATTTAATTTCCAACCTTTATTTTGATATTTTTCCTATAGAACTATTTACAAATTCCATTGACATTTTCCCTCACTGAACAAAAAAACAAAGAAAACCATATAGCTGCATTGTTTTTGGTCTTGTCTACATATATCTATATATTTAGATGTATAAGTGAACTGGAAATATGATTATGATGACGATGGCTCTGACGTTAGCTCTGGCGATGCTAATGCAAGTTGACAGAGCCAGACACCGGGCAGGCGATTGCATATAAATGACACTCACTGTATACAGTGATTTGCATAAAATGGCGCCAGCCTTAATAGTTTTTGATAAATTGTTGTCAATATTGTTGCAGCTACGACGACGGAGCTACGCCTCTCTTGAAAGCAATTTCAATTTAAGTGGCAAAGTTGTTAACGAAAAACTTATTTAATTAAATGTATGCATTGCGACCGACAAAAATAAGAACTTTGCCCAGCGATAAAGTTGAGAAGTTGTAGCTTTTGTAAAAGTGGCATTGCATTAATGAGTTGCATATGCAAACATCAAAGTTTGCAATCAAAATCAATGTCACCGCCAGACGACAACCGAGTTCGCCAGATCAAAGGCGGTCGCGAGCTATATAGACAGGTAAAGTTGAGTGGCATTGAGTGGGTTCAATAGCCTAAGTATCCCTACCTCCCCTTATTATTATAGGTAGCCCGGGGGGCGTGGCCAGTCAGGTGTGCCACAGTAAGCAAAAATAGCAAAAACACAGAGACAGACGACAGGCGGCAGTAACTCCTGGAAATGTTCGACATCTAATTAGAGAACAAATAATGAGGAGCCACCAAAAAAAGGAAGGAAAAATAAATAATGGAAAATGCAAAGGATATTTGTTTTGTATTCGGAGAGTAGGAAATTTGTCTGAATTATGAAAATTATTAGTCTATGGGTCATATATCAATGCCCAATTAGGATAATTATATTTATGTTGATCTAAGAATATATCTGACTACCACAAACTAGTGACATAAATATACAGAAAAATTTGTTTGTATTTGATTAATAATAAATATTGAAGAGAAATTGATATATTATAAGCATATATAATTACTCTTTATATTATATTTACGTAGAAATGCTATTTACTTTAACTGGACTTGATTTAATGTTTATAAAAGGCTTATAGCCCTTCAGAAAGTTCCCATAAAGTTATACCTTCCTGCTGACATAAAAACCTCTATTTAAGCTACAAAAAATAAACACACATTTAAAGATTTAATTAGAAAACATCAAAATAAACCACTATATATATTACTTCAAACTAGAGCAACCTAATAAACCAGCTCAGGTTCCTAGAAATTCGCAATAAACAAACTAAAGAAAACCTCTTATAATTTGTAAATGTTTACTGGGAGAATACTCAAAAGAAACAAAACCCCATACCCCTAGAATATCTATTCCAGCTACAAGTCAAATTAAGCCAATTTATAATGGCTAATAGTATACAATCTGTGCAAATAATTAGCACATTCTTACCCCTTTTAACAGAAGCGCATTTATTTTCAGGCCAACAATTACCCAACACCCCAAAGAAAAACATCATCCATCCATCCACAAAACAGTTGACACAAGCCAAACAGCAGCAGCAGGAAAAGCGCGAGCGGCAAATGATATGACGGGCACTTTCCAAATTTTCTTGTTAATGACGTAATTACCTACAGCTGAGCAAAACAAAAGCGAGCTGTGAAAAACCCGGCAAGGAAAAGTGGAAAATCGCGAGAGACAGGCGGCGTGCGAAATGAAAATGAAGGAGGGAAGAGAACGGATTCCACGGCAGGCCACACGACGTATACGTGACATTTTGGCCACGCTGCCACCACACACGGCAGGTGCACTGAGAGGAAAATGTATATAAACACTAAAATTAATGTCTTTATATTGAGGTATATTTAAAAAAGAATATATTAATAAAAATCTGAGGCTCTAAAAGTGCTTACTATTATTAAATATATTACTTTAAAGCCTTTTTCTATTTCATATATATTTATTATTTTATTTTCAGTAAATTTTCACCCCATTCTCCACTCCGTGGCTTTTGGCCAACATTGCCCAAATTCTCTTCTGATTCAATGCAAGGAAAAATAGAATGGTGAGTAAAAAAAAATTGTACAAAATAAAATGAAAGGCAAAACTGTTCCTAGCAAAAATATTTTGACACTTCTCGGCGACAAGCAGCTGACTAATTGCAAGAGTTTTGCTCTTTTGGAGAATGCCTCTAAATAAAACTATAAAAAAATAAAGTAGGAAAGAATCTCTAAAAATAAAGAGAGAGAGAAAACAGTGTAAAATACAGCAGCGACAGCTGACGGAACTGAAAGTCCAAGAATTCTCGATGATTAAATGGCTTATAAATGACGCGGGCATTTTTCCCGTCCTGGTAAAAAAAATCCAAGAACTTCCATGCCAAAAATAGGTGAGAGAAAAACGAAGGAGAAAAAAAAACACCAGACACGTGACAAGTGACAAGTTGGGGGAGGAGGGTGTGAAAAATATATATGGAAAATGCCACAGATTCAATCGATTCAACCATCAGTTCATGAACTCTCCCCTCAACAAATTGAATGCCAACTT